AAAATAAGATACTTCAAAGGTTTTTAGCATACCGATAAGAGGAAAAAATATAGGCCATTTAAAAATATGGAATAATAAAAATTTTTATAGTGAAAAATGTCAGTTGTATTTTAGGATATAATTGTTTACTTGAAGCGTTTTTTACAAAACATATCAGATATAGATAGTCATGTGCTGCTACTTGCTGATTCTTTACAGCTAATTCAAAATTCGTGGACCACCCTAAGAATTTACCCACGGGACGGCGAGTGGTACGTAGATGATCACGAGTTTTAGATTATGAATGTATTATATATATCGATATTGTGTTTTATTGAAATATGTATAATAAATACAAAAAATAAATACAATACTTAAACATACAAAAAATAAATACAATACTTAGACTATGATCTATTTGATATAATACATACTGTATATATAATTAGGTAAATGCAGAGCATTGTATATCTGGAACTTATTTAATTAGTGATTAGTCACTTAACTGATACATGATCTTAGTATAATCTGATGCAGATTAGTAATTTGCCACTTAACTGATACATGATCTTAGTATAATATGATGCAAATTACTATATAAATTATATACAGTCAATGTTTTTTATACTGAACTCTAGATTCTAGCTAAAAAAAGTTCATTATATTAAATTACTATGTTTTCTTAAAAGTTGTAGCTTTTGTTATACCAAATTAATATTAAAATTTAAAAATTTTGAGTTCATTATATTTAGAGTTTGTTATAAAAAGGTTCATTATATTCAGGATTGACTGTATATCCTAAATATAGTATTTATCTAAGAAAAACTTTTTTCTTATTAAATTAATCACTCTTCTGCTTAAGTAAAAATTGTAGAGTTTATTAAGATGTATCTAATGCTAGTAAGGTCATCAAAAATGATCTAGTAGTTGTTAAGATATTACTAAAAAATGAATGTTAACTATGTAATGTTTTTTTAGTCTTTTTGGGCTAAGGTTTTTATTCAAGTATTGTTAAATGGGTGATTCATAGCTATTAGCCTCAAGGGAACTCTTTATATTAAAGAATACAACTAGTCACACATATACTTTTGATGTTTAATTAAAGTAATTAACCTACAACTTTATATTATAGATTTTATATTAAATGTTGTACCTGTAACTCAATTATGGATGTTATCTATTTAAACTCTCTATAATGCAATTTTATTTGTATTACCAGTACATCTTCATTACATTTGTTAGTTGAGAAGTTTCAGATTTTTGACCTATTTCTTATAGAACTACTTTATTTTTAAAACATCATTGCTAGAGTTTTTCATATTCACAATCTGGCTAATCTAAACTTTTAGTAATTTATACTGAGTTTGAGAACAAGTATTTGTAAACTGAAGCCACACTGTTATCTACTCCTGCTCTTGCAGAGTTTACCTAAACTTTGGTATCTACTTTATAGACTATCTACTATACCTCTGGTTATTTTAAACTCTGAATTCAGATGGTTTAAAAGGGTAATCTCTTTCTCTGATTGTCTATTAGCCTGATTGATGTAATATTCTTGTTAGACACTTTAGTTCTGTTTAGTTTTCTAATTCTCTGTATAATGATCTTTTACTAATACTATCAAAGATTTGTGTTACCTTTTACTTGAGTCTTGCCAAGCAGGCTTCTGTATTTCAATTTGTTGATTTTATTTGACAGCTTCACTTAGGTTTGGATTATATTAATATTTTACTGCCTTTTAGTACAAACTGGTGTGACCTATTATAGGTACTAACCCAATAGAATATGATTTTTCAAATGCATTCTAAAAATTCAAATTTCATCACTAGCAGAATTTGAACTCTTAACCTGTCACTTGAAGTGTAACAAATTATCAACTTTACTAAGTTATCACATTCTTACTATATAAATTTTTATATAAATAATAATAATATACATATATATAGGAGTATATAATAAAAATAAGATTCTAAAAAAGCCCTTATTTTTAATATAGCACCAAAAAAACTTTTTTTGTAGATTAACAATATAGGATATAAAATAAAAAAATAGAGTTCAAAAAAATGACATTATTTTTAATATAGCATCAAAAAACTTCTCTTTATTATAGATTAACATGTAGAAATGTAGAATAAGATAAAAATTTTTGAATACCTTAAATTATGTAAGTAGACAGACAGAAAATACAAAATTACTTTTTTGGTATTTTAATATTTAATACATCAAAAAAATAATTTTTGTATTATAATGCATAAAAATTAGAGTCTGTTACTTCATTTCAGACAATTATAAATTCAATTTTTTTTTGTTTTAGTGTTAAAGTGAGGTCATGCCTCTGAATCTTTATTAATTATTTAAATTTATATATTACTACTATTGGCTATGCCACTAGTTTTATATACATTCCTATCTAACTAATCTATAAATATGAAACTCAGACTATTTTATCCATGATCTAAACCTACCAAAGTATTCTGTATCACACTTACATCATACCTGGATAAATTCAAAAATTTAGCAATTCACTGTGCCAAATCTAATTATATTAGTAATTGAATATTGCCATTCTGACAATAATTCAGGATAAATTCTTAGGATGGTTCATGAATTTTGAAATTAGCTGTAAGCTTGTTAGTTAATTGAGCTGTCGGTGAATTAAGCTTGGTGAATTACAGCTAATTTCAAAATTCGTAGACCATCCTTCCAAATTATTGTTGCGATAGCGGGTGATGGGTGATCGCTTTTAGATTATGTATTATATTGATATCGATGTAGTATGTTTTATTAGAATACTAATATAACACATAATCTAAAACTCATGATCACCCGCAATCCGTATACCGACAATAATTCGAGAAAAATTTTTTGGGTGGTCCATGAATTTTGAAATTAGCTGTAAGTGTCGGTGAATGAGCTGAACCACTATGATCATCAACCATTTTTCATTAGTGATTGTATAAATATTTAGTAAAAACGGTATAAACCAATTTCCCCAAAAACCATTTACCCGACACCCATTTCGCCGATGGCCATTTCACCAACAACCTATTTTCCGACAGCCCATTTCTCCAACAATTCATCTCGCTGACAATTTTGGTTCGATTTTTGGTTAGGGTTGGCCCGCTTTATAGTTAGTGCTGGCTAGTGATTGTCGGTAAATGAACTGTCGGGTAATGGGCTGTCGGGGAAATAGTTTGAAGCGGGCTGTCGGTGAAATGGTCGTCGGCAAAATGGTTGTCAGGTAAATGGTGTCGAGGAAATCTACCAAATCCCCCATTTACCCACACCCATTTCGCCGACAGCTATTTCACCGACAGCTCACTTTCCCGAAACCATTTCACCGACAGTCCATTTCCCTGACAATTCATCTCGCCGACAATTTTGGCCCGATTTTTGGTTAGGGTTGGCTAGTGATTGTCGATGAAATGAACTGTCGGAGTAATGGGCTTTTGGGGAAATAGTTTCGGGATGTGGGCTGTCAGTGAAATGGAGGTGGGTTAGTCATGGCGAAAAAATGTCGCGGTGACGTGATCGGCGACCACTTCCGACCCTGATAATACAAATTACGTATTACATTGAAATAATTATTACAGTATTAAGTCTTTCATACGTAGACTAATAATCATTTTGACATAATACATAATTTGTATTATCAGGGTCGGAAATGGTCGCCGATCACGTCACCGCGACATTTTTTCGCCATGACTAACCCACCTATAAATTGATCGGATTTGGCCTCTGTAGCATTGATCTCAAACGGATTTATTAGTAGAAAAATACTAATTACGTAGAATTAGATTCTTCAGAAGCTGTATCCCATAAGACGAAAGTAGTGAATCAATTTATAGAACTTTCTTTTCTGTCAGTTAGGATTAGGGTGTTTGCTATTGAGCATGTTTAAATAGACCGACTAATTGAACATGGCTAATTGGACATAAGTTCAAAATTAGACAGGGCTACGGCTAATTAAGAAATATTAGACTTAATAAGACTAATAATTCTGATAATTAGGGAATACGTACAAATTCTATCTCAGGATACAACATATATATACACATGATCTTAACGTTAACTAACTTTGGGCCAATTATTCAAGATTAACATTCTGATTGGTCCGTGCCAACCCTGATTATATAACTCAGAATCCATCGCCATTACAGAGAAATGTATATAGCAAATTATCATGCCTAGCATTTTATTTAATGAATGCTATAGTTATGGCGCAAAAATTTGCAGTCCCATAACATACCTAATAATATTGCTCACGATGCTATCCTAGACTTTTATCTAAACATTCATATCGGCCTTTGTAAACAAATTATGTACGTACGTACGTAGGTAATCAAATTCAGGCAAAAATAGAAATTAAAACTGGATATAACAACAATTAAAATTGGACATAATAGCAATCAAATATAGGCATAAAATACGATGGACATAATAGTAATTATGCCCTACGTATATAATTGTTGTCATATCTAGACTTGATTGCTACGTATTATTGATTGCTATTATATCCCAGATTTACTATTATATTTCATATTATGTTCAGATTTGTCTGGATTTGCTCACTACTTTGTTTACAATAGATATACAAAACCAATAATTATGTTAGTGCCAAATATAAACGATTTATCTAAATTTTTGGTTTGAAACTTAGAGACTAAAAACTAATCTCAGTAGCAAGTTTTCGAGTTTTTTTTTTTTTATTATTATTTTCTGCGTTCGGATTTGTATGATCTAGAACTGCCAAAGATCATTCATTAAATAAAATGCCCACACGACAATTTTGCTATAGACATGGTCGGTATTGCCTAATGCGGCCTGGAATCTTAGAGAAATCATTATAACACATTGAGGGTTTAAACCAAATAAATGGTTGATACATTTTGTTGCCTAACTAATATAATATTGTTAACTAATTATAGTGTGCCGTAGTTACTGGTTGGTCATTCATACATGGTGTTGTGACAGCACTTGATACCCTTTGTTCGCAGGCCTATACATCTGGTAAGGTGATCATGGTGGGTGTATATTTACAACGCGGCATTGTAGTAAGTTCGTTAGGATTCCTCCCACTCGCTTTTCTTTGGTGGGAAGCAGAACAAGCTTTTAAACTCATTGGTCAGGATCCAGAAATTTCTGCACAAGCTGGTTTATATTTAAGATATTTACTGTTTGGAGCTCCTGCAGTCTTGTTGTTTGAAAATTTGAAGAGATATTTGCAAGCTCAAGGTGATATAAATTAATTAACTAATTAATGAACGAATGTGAATTAATAATTAACGAAAATTTTATACAATTGAGCATAGGGATAATGCATGCTAGTACATATGTATCAATAATTTGTTTTCTAATTAACATAGGCTTAACCTTCACGTTAGTTGTGTATCAACCAACATCACTTGGTCTGATTGGAGCACCTATTTCCATAGCTATAACATATTGGTTAATGTTTATCTTTCTTGCCATTTATGCTAAATTCATTAACGGATATCAAGCATGGGGTGGATTGTCACGTGCTGCGTTTTATGGCTGGAAACGGTTTTTGACATTGGCAATTCCTGGCGTCTTGATGGTTTGTTCAGAATGGTGGACATTTGAATTCATATCTCTTCTTTCCGGATACCTTGGTGAAATTTCACTTGCATCCCAAGGTATAATAATTACTACAGCTAATCTTTTGTATCAAATACCATATGGATTTTCTGTATCAGCATCAACTCGTATTGGAAATTTATTGGGTGCTGGATTGGTAGAAAGGGCTAAAACGTCTTCAAAAATTTCTATGCAACTCGCTGCTACTGTTGCTTTATTGAATGCAACTGTGCTGATAGTTTTCAAGGATTATTGGGGGTTAAGTTGCGATCAAATATATATACCGTATTTGCGCGTAATAACGCCCCTCGGCGCGTTATTTTGAGATTTTGTTTTCAAAATTTTATACTATATTTGAATAAACCACATGGTAATGTGATAATAACTGTCGCGGCTGAAGCTGATATCGGGAATTGACACTATTTTGTAAGGATGAAAAAAAACAGGTTTAAACACTTTTTCACCGATTTAAAACAGGTGATGATTAAAAGTCCGAGTAGTTAAATTTGTTTTTAAATATACTAAGACCATAATCATTACCTGTTTTTAATTACGTAATAAAAACATTTTCCATCCCTACTATTTTGATATGAAATTTTGAAAATTTTTGGGTGCATTTTTTTGGGGGTTTTTTGAGGGTTAGGTTAGAATTCATGGTTAGAATTGTTAGCAGGTATAGTGGACTCAAATTGGACCCAATCTCAGCATCAGCCGTGACAATAACTAAACTGAAACTATTATAAAATGCAATAAGTTACATAAAAGGTGGGTGCGCGTTATTTCGGGCGATATTTTGGACAATTCAGTTAATTTTTTGAAAAAGGAAAATTTCAAATTAACGCCCCGGCCCGTTATTACGCGCAAATACGGTAAGTTTATTTAATTACTGTACATTTCCTTATTTAATTTCATACACAGATATATGTTCATCTCGGAAGAAGAAGTAGTCAAGCTTACGTCTTATGTCTTACCGTTAGTTGGTTTATTCCAGGTATCTATTGTTCAATTATATTTGCTTAAATATTATTAATGTATTATCGAATGAAATAAGTTCACTTGTTATAATTTATAAAGATACCCGACTGCTTAAACTGCGTCGGGCTTGGTGTTCTTCGTGGGCAAGGCCGTCAAAATATTGGTGCATTTCTCACCGTTCCTGGATATTTCATTATAGGAGTACCTATTGGTATACTTGTAGCTTTCAATTTAGGATTTGGATTACAAGGTCTTTGGATTGGATCGATGACATCTTCATTTACCATTTGTATTATTCTTAATATTATTATATGGAGAACTGATTGGCAACGACAATTAGAGAAATGTAAAGAACGAATGAAAGAAGACAGGGATAAATTTGAAGCTGATGTTAAATCTGCCAATTTAGTATTTAAATCTTTTATTTGATAACCAAAAAATTGACATGTGATTTTTATTATTAGCAAAATTTTATACATGTTCTTGGCATTATGTGTTAGCGATAGCGTTAGGATTAGAGTTAGTACAGTAGTAATCAGTATATAAATGTGTCCGAGATTAACGGATTCTTTTGATTGGTCCGATAACAGATAAATTTGATAAATGGAAAATATTATTCATATTATATGTAACTTACTCCCTGACGAAAGGTCATTATTTTGTTGCAAAAAAGAGATATAACTAGGTAAAATTGTATTGAGGTGTTTCTATTTATTCTCACTATGAAGTTTTTATACTATATACTTTTATAAAGTGTCTTCCACTATCAATAAAAATCATATTGTCGTACATGTAATCTATATAACTGATACGTAATCATTTTCCGTTTCATTTGAATTTTATTGTAAATTTGTATTTTTGCGATCATGAATGCTTTAACCGATCTTCCCATGTCAAAATTATCGAGTTGCAATATCTCCACATTGTATTGCGGCAATGCTGCATTATATTACAGTATTGCCGCCTTTATCTAAATCGTTAATGTGGCAATAATGTAGTATTGTGAAACATTTCTATCAGCTTCATAATGTCTATCGATACCCAAGAAGCTATAATGAACTTATATATTTCATTCTTGGTTCCCTATTTCGTTATAGTCATCATTTTCCTTTCCAATAAAAATTTCGACGTCAATTATATGCTTCTCTACAAAACAAGAAGTTAAAGGGGGAAAAGTTATGTACCACAAACCCTCTTTTGAAATATGAGTTAACTCAAGATGGAATATTAACGACTAGGAAACCCCTGAAAAGTCTTGTTTGTATGTCGTAGATCAAATTTTTCAGGGGCGTTACATCCGGAAAATACCAAAACTACATTTTTGATATTTCTACTATAAATATAGCAAAAACGTAATTTCGGTCATCAAAAGGCGTAGAAGTATGAGTCTGTCGCTTCGCTCCAGACAATAAACATATGAAAAGTGTATCGAGGTTGTTAGTACAAATCCTGTCAGAGAAATTAATAGAAGTGTGATTCAAAAGAGAAACTAGATATTAGGAAAGAATATTCAGTTAATAATTTTCTTTGTAATGAAAACTCTCCAGAATTAAATGAATAAACATCTATTTGATATCAAGCAATTCTGACTTTCCGGATGCTTTAAGAACCAATTTTTTCAAGATTTCTATCTCATTATTTAGATTGGTTAAATAATATTAAAGAGGATTGGTTAGACATTAAAAATTTTTGACGAATTTTGTTAAATCTTCGAAGTTGCTTGAAGTTGCGCAGCTTGATAATCTCTTGCACATTGTCTTAAGAATCGGGAGCAATGTAGATTTAGAATGTATTAATAAGGGAAAGAATGTTTGGAAGAACTTTTTTCACGAGCAAACATCTCAATTTTGTCATTAGTTATATATCCATACACATCTTTCTTTAATCATTCTGGTGACGCTAATTGTGATGCAAAATTCAGGTTAATTACGACAAAGACGAAACACAATCAGAAATAGCAAGATTGTCAGTTCCAGTAAATGAGGAGTCAAATTATTGTGTAATGAAGTTTATAGCTCTCCGCGATATTCTTAAAGGTATCAATTATTCATTATCAATCATTAGTGGATGTTAAAATTGAATCTATGTCATTAAATTTACATCACAGGAGAACTTACTATTTCTTATATTCAAGACGAGATACAAGACGAGGATGTCTTATTATCACTTCAATCGCGTCGACAGAAACTTTTAAGTGAATATTATTTTTTGTGCCAATGTTGTAAATGTATTACAAAGGAACATGGTAGGAAGAAAAAAAGAAACATATTAAGGATAGCAATATAAAATTAAGCACGTAAATTTTTAATACGCTTATTCTTATTATGTTTTGTCCGGCCTCGTTACAATATCTTCTAATTTTTGTCCGAGTTTTACAATATTACAACGAATTACTCGAGGATCTGAATTTAACCTTTTCCTTATTTCAGCCAACACCAACGGATTGGTATCAAAATGCATCAACCAGAAACTGATAAAAAAGTTTTTTTTTTATTTTTTTTTTAAAAAAAAAATAAGGTGAAATAAAACAAACAAATAATATATAATGAATTAAACCGTACTGTCCATCGTTATGATATTCTTGATGCCTTCGTGTTCTTGTGGCTAATGGCATAGTTCCCCAATTTTCAAAGCCTCTAACAACACCACCCTTTTCTAATACATATTTGGCCGTAATTTTAACTAAATTCTTTAAATTTGCCTATTATTTATGGGAACAAAAAAAAATTTAAAAAATCGTTTCGGCATTAATTATTATTTCTTTATACAAATAATATAACCTCCATTAAATTAGCTCGAGAAATGCAAAGAAGCTCATAAAAACCCATCTTTGTAGTTACGTGACAAAAGGAATAAGATCTACAATTTATTTATGTACCAACCTTTAGTCACATGATCACTGCAGATTTATAAATTATCATTTCCGTGATGTATTCTTTTTAGAATAGCGTTATGT